TGTATATATATATATATATATATATATATATATATATATACATTTGTGGAATAATTTGTTTAATGATATACTGTATGCTGTTATTTTAAGTTAATTAATCATTTGTACCAACTTCCTGCAATCATTAACAAGACACTTCAATGCCATTCTTTTGACTGGCAAGCATGTATCATTAATATGCCTACAAGTAACTATCAGCACTGTATCTCATTTATTATCTATGAATCTTGATCTAAAGTTTCAAAAAAATTTAACCAAAAACACATAACAAAGAAATAAGTTAATGCTGATAACAATAAAGGATTCTTTGACAGGTACTTCAGTTAATAAGCACAAAAGCTTAGAATACTTTGTCTTATGATCCAATAAACTTAAACCCAAAATAACCAAACTGTTCCTATTTCTATAAATATACAAAATATACATTAATAAAATAATATCCAGTATTTAAGCCAGATGTGGAAAGAGCATCTTTGAGTTATAAAGTACAGAGAATGAATGAGTAAATATGGTTTTTCTTTAATTTCTGATGCTGCAATTTTTCATGAGAGAGATTTGAAGTTTCCTCTTGATTTGTGGTACCAGGATGCTGTTGAGGAACAACCTGATACTTCACCTATGATTCAGTCACATTAGACTTCATTACTAAAAACTTTTAGAGACATCTTAATAATCAGATAAACACATACATAATAGAACAAAGTATGATGACTGTCATCATACAGCTACTTTTTAAGTTTCTGTGGTTGTTGTCTTTGTTCTCGTGACCACCCTCAAATCCCAATTGAATGAGCCTCTTGTTATTGGACACACCCTTTCTATTCTGATCAATTAGATTTCTACCTCTTGTCCAAGGAGAGATTTTTTTTTTTGGTGAGGGGAATATGTGAGGAATTGAATTAAGATTATTTCTTCCTTCAGATGCAGGCATTTATTGACACATAATTATTAAATGGCATATATCATTACACACTTATTACATTAAACACACAACTTCTATTAATAATAACTCACAAGTTTCCTAGTTACTTTTTGTACTATCATTTTGTCTAAGCTTAAAATAGTGTATGACTAGGGTTACCAGATTTCCACAGTTTAAAATTACAATACACTTTTTTATTTTATTGTGTTTAAAGCCACTGACAAAATTTATTAAAAAATAAATAAAATAAACAATGAGCCTAAGTTGTCTTGAACTAGTCGAAGAAAATTGTTGCTTCTTTGCTTTTCTTTTCTGGCTGGGTAGGTCTTAAAATAAATCTCAATTCTTGCAGGCTAGGTTAAGAAAATGAAACACAGAGGGAAAGAACACAGTACCTTGTGATCTGTCTTTGTCACGTGAAATTTAAAGGAGGCATACTTAATGACAAACTGTATTTATCAAATTCACACTGAGGTACAAAGATTGTGGAACAAATTAACACTTTTACTGTTTTGGATTGGGAGAAAAAATATGTTGTAACTCAATAGTCACATGATGCTGGATGTACAAGTTGTTTATTATTGATTAGATATAGTTACTGTAAATATGCAACACCAATACCTACCAAGCTGCAAATCTAAAAAACTTCACTGCTAAGTTAGGTACAAAGGGAGTTTTTTTAGCAGTATATTTATTAATACAGGAAATACATAGGTGACAATCTACCAGTGCCTGTTGGATCTGTCATTCTGCAATCTTTTGTCACTTGTCCAATGTTTATGAATTATCTTTTGTAACCCATCTTTAAGTGTTAATAAGCAGTAACCACAATTATGTTATGTGTCTTTACTGAGCTAGTCAAGGCTACTTTCAATGACCTAATCACCATGTCGCACTCATAAGATGTGTGCTAAGCATACAGTTACTCTATTCAATAAAAAAAAGACATACACAACTTTATCAGTTCCTCAGGTTTTATTTTGTACATTTTACATCTGAGGATATATTTATATTATTTATGACATTTACTCAAATTAAGACTTTTTGTGTATATGTGTGTGTGTGTGTGTGTGTGTGTATATAGTAAGGATTTCTCTATATATTTATGCACAACCTCAAAGTAGACCTTCAAATCTATATAAACCTATACTGAATTTGTCAGAAAAGATTTTAATAGATCACTTTTCTAAATATTATTTTGTAGTTGGAGAATTTCATATTATCGAGTGTAGTAAATTGTAAATGCCAATATAAATTATTTCCAGCAATAATTAATTATGAAAGTTTCTGATATTTAGTTGTTTTGGAGTTAGTTCTTATGCACAATGATGGTTCAGCTCATATGACTATGAGTCATAGTTGTAATGCCTGTATTTGTCAATACTACTTTGTCTTCAACTTTAGTTTAGTACAAGAAATACACCTAAATGATAAAAACAAAAAGGTCTATTACTTTACAAATCTAGGTCAAACATCAAACTCTGTGTTCAGCCTTTCCCTCTCGGATTCAAGAGTAGTCATGTGATATAGAATCATGTTTTTCTCAACTGATGTACTGCTAACACTAACAGTCTAGTTGTATGATTTTACATTTAAGGTATTGTAGCGCCTAACAATAGGAACACTAACAGTATTAAAAACAAATACCTCAAACAAGTCCATTCCATTTCCACAAGTTCCTGTTTTGTACGTTGTCACAACAAATGTCATTGCTAGAATTAAACTTTTAAGTTGTCGATAAAAATGAACAATCATTTTGACAGAATTCCTATTCTGGAGTAAAATGAATCGTTTGTTCGAAAGAATAAACTCGGAATATTCGACAAACTCAACTTTGTCCTAAAAATACATGTAACTCCAAACAATCGGTAATCTTTATCACCACTTTTATAGACAACCATGCACATCCTGTGATGCGAGTAGTATTTTGTAAATATCTGAGAGTGATCTTACGATGGTAAATTATGAATAAATAAATAAATACACTTATACAAGGAGCAGATGATTATGAAATTGGCACTATTACTGTATTATCATATTTTAAAGCTTTTATTCGTTTTTAATATCATTCACATTTTTTATTTAAATTTTGATTTCCACACAAGTTGTTGTTTTTGTACTGTTTAGTATGCTAATTCTGTATTTTCAAAATGAATTTTTATTTCCATAACTTGTTAAAGCATAAATATCCTGATTAAGTAAATATATAAGACCAATTGAGATGGATAAATGTAGCATGTAAATATCACACGTCACTTTCCTCCGCCCCAAGGTGGTTCAGCGGTAAGTCTTCGGATTTTCAACGCTAAAATCAGGGGTTCAATTCCTCTAGGTGGACACAGCAGATAGCCCGATGTGGCTTTGCTGTAAAAAAACACACACACACACGTTCCTCCATATTTGCAAAACTTTAATATATTTTCTTCGTCTTCTAAATTCTGGTTTGGAACATACTACGACCAATCATAATCATGTGTTAAATTTGTAGCAAATTATTGTAACATAGTTCTCTCGTTGGCGAATTCTTCTAAATTATCCGGTGAATATAATTCAACGTCATGTTCACATAACAATAATAAATTACTTTATTTCCATTTTTAACATTTCTACAAACTTCAATACTTTGGTAAATTGCTGTTGGCCTACGTTACAACTGACGTCAACTAATGTAAAACAAATAAATTTACTTGTACAAAGTAATCGCGATAGCTAACACATCAACTGATTCACTCTCTATCTTGAAATAACTTTACCTATCATTTTCTTGACTATCTTTGAATTCACTCCATAACTACTCTCTCGATACTTCACGGAACGTCATATTTATAATATACGTTCGAATATGCTAGAACAAAAAACGTGACGTTACATTATTTAAACCTTCTGGGCATTTTTTGCCCTCTACTTTAAAAAGATACAACATTAATAATATAGCTCACAACACTTCTTCTTCCTGGATTGAAAAGTCCCTTGAGAAATCCTAATAAAAAAATAAAAGACTACATTAATTGTCCATTCACCAAGTGTTTTTGGTGGTTTTCTCTTCCAAGATGAATGTGATAGCATCTTGTCTCTTGTTGTAATTGGCTGTTGTGTCACTGGGGGAGTTCGTCCTGGGTAAGTGGTCCGGCAAATCCACTGACAGCTCCATCTTTGATGATTCATTAGAAGCAATCTCATCAGGAACTCCGGACTGCTCTGTAGGTTGAGTTTCTACTGGAAAGTTCTTCTCTTGAGCTATCCAGTTGGCCATTCTTTCACCATTGTACTTTCATAGACGATCACAGTGGATGATCTTTGGCTTGGATCCAGTTGTATAAGTACAAAAGATATACTCCCTGCATAAAAAGTAATTGGGCCCCTACATTTATTTCCTTATAATTGTATTTACGATTCGCGATCACCCACAATTGTGGGACCATATTTATGCCACTGTTTGGATCATCTCCCCTCTAAATACCTATTTAATTTTGGAGTTTGTCCTCTCTCACAATGAGAACTGTACAGCCATACCATGTCACCTCGACGGAATCCAGTTTTATTAGCGCTTACAGCATAGCTACCCTTATTCTTATTTACGTCTTTCCTAGGAAAAAGTCATGTATGACATCTTTATTCTTCACATCTAGGAGAGTTTTTCCAACCACCAATCCATTATGACATACTGACATATTTGGTTCTACAATGCCCCTGTCACTAGATGGAGAGTTACTGTTATTAGTTCCTGATAAAAGTATCTAACTTCTTGGTGGTACAATGACCACTGTCCCTGTTTCCACTGGATGTTCAACCTCGAGTTTTGTAATTGCTATGTAGTGCACAAGAATGTCCTAATTGTAGACTACGAAGCTAGCCTAAGCATGCATCCATGTTTCTGCATGAAGCTAGTTCCAACAGTTGTAGCAGTTACTTCTTTCTGATATCCTTAGAAAAGAGCGTTTATCCAATGCAGGCCTTTATTGTAGTTCTTGGCAATATATCATTTAAAGTTACACTTTAAACATCTATTATCCTGTGGTTTATTTCCACTGTTCTGTTTAATTAGTTGTCTAACTATCGTATATACTCGTGTAATAGATGACCCATGATTTTTGACCAAAAATCTTAATTTTTCATATATCTAGTGTAAAAGTCTACCAAGTATTTTCGGCAACCTAAGAGAGAAACCACTCACCCAAGGCCAGGACACACTTTATACAGAACACTTGTGAAAACAAACGAAAACATTTAACTCTACCAACACCGACTCAGTTCCAGTGACCGACCATGTGACCATTTTTACTTGTATATACATGTAGTTTTAATACTATAACTAAAATGACTTCAAGTTGTAGCAATACTATATTTGTTTATTTTGAATAGCTTTAAACTTGTAACAGTACACATCTATTTATACTTAAATTTGATTGTGTGTTTTTTCCCTTTGAACCGTATCTAACCACTATTCGCGCTATTATAAGTCATAAATCATTGGCGAACGTATAACTCACCTTACCCTCTCAAATAACACTACGCACGACCTGCTTGTGAACATACTGACATATTTCTATTATATTACTCTTACTAGCTGGAGTACCCGTCCTCTGGACGGAACTTATGTAAATTCGTGATTAATGAAAGGTTATTTTAGGACATGGAAAATTGCTTCCCTTCGCAAAAACGCCCATGAAAACTGCAAAACAGAAAATTTTAAACTGCAAGTTTGCATGTATCTCCGCATGGACCCAACAAACCTTAATGGCAAATTTGGTGAAGATACATCTACAGGGAACGAATTAGTAGAAAAAAATGTAAAAACGCTCATAAAAACCACAAAACGCAAAATGTGAAACTGAAAATTTGCATGCACCCCCGCATGGACTTAATGATCCTCCACACCAATTTTGATGAAGATCCATCCACACCCTACAAGGTAGTTATATGGATATACAACAGACAATACTGTTATATTTATATAGATTACTAGCAAAAAAAAAAACAACAAAAAACCGTCAAAAATGACGGGAAACCGTAGTTGAATGATTAACGAAAATTATAGAATTTAACTAAAACTAATTTGTCTGTACCTCCAAAATGCATCTACTCTTCATTATATCATCAGTCTCAAAGTAATTCTTTAATCACCACATTTTTAGTAAAAACTAGGCGGAAAAATAAAATGTTATGGTGAACAAAAGTATGTGCACTCTGGCAGAGACTTAAATAGCACTTTTGAACCTTTTCACTGTATTCTAGGTCAAGAATTAGAAAACATAGTGTGGATATTGAGACTCAATTAAATTTTCAGCTCTTTCAACTGCACAAAGGATAGAAGATATTTGGTAATAATAAATGTTTATTTTTCTTTATGTTTTAAGGCCAAATAGGTAACATGTGTGTTAAAATACCAAAAGAATATTTGTCACTTAGCGTTTATTCACCATGTTACGTCTCCGTTTGTTAATTAACTTTCCGTAACTTCGTTCCGACGAAACATTAGCGACAC